TGGGGCACCTGGACCTCTTCAGCCTCCACAAGAGAAGGTTGGGAGGCGACCTTGTGGCTGCCTATAAATTCATCACGGGGGCACAGAAGGGAATTGGTGAGGTTTTATTCACCAAGGCACCCCTGGGGGTTACAAGAAATAATGGCCACAAGCTAGCAGACAGCAGATTTAGACTGGACGTTAGGAAGAACTTCTTCACAGTTAGAGTGGCCAAGGTCTGGAACGGGCTCCCAAGGGAGGTGGTGCACTCCCCTACCCTGGGGGCCTTCAAGAGGAGGTTAGATAGGCATCTAGCTGGGGTCATCTAGACCCAGCTCTCTTTCCTGTCTATACAGGGGGTCGGACTCAATGATCTATTGAGGTCCCTTCCGACCCTAGAATCTATGAATCTAAGGGCTTCAATTCAGTCCATTTTTATTACGAGACAATTGTGAAATTCTAATTTAGGTCTTGCTTCTTATTTACAATACCATCAAAGTTCATGACAGGTTGTATTGGACACGTTGCTATGACAGATATATATCTCATTTTAACTTACTTTATATAATATAACCATGGAAGAAATAACTGAACATGGATATATAAAGCATAGAAAGGTGTTTTAAGATTTTGTGTAAAATGTATAAGTGTACATATGCACAGATGCATAGAAATTGTAAAAAGATAGAGTCCTCTGAAAATATAACATTTTCATTTTTCTCATTTTCTAGTATAGCTTGCAAAAAAAAGTTGAAACATCCATAGTGTATCAGTTCTCATTGTCATATTGCTTGTCTTATTTGTTTTCTGTATTAAATCACTTCCTAATACACCTCCTTTCATATGCTTTACCTCAGGGGTGTCAAAATTATCTGGCCCTGCAGGCCAGTTGAGTGGTGTGGGGACATTCCAGGGGGCTGGACGAACGCCATGGGCCAGCCCCGCAGTTCAGGTCAGGCCCCCTCTGCATGCTGAATCCAGCACACGTGGTGCCAATTCCAGCTGGTCTAGGATTGCATTGAATGTGGCATTTGTGGGTGCCAGTCTGCCACATGTGCTGTATGCAGTGTGTACCCGCCTCCGCTCTAGTAGATGTTCCCGCGCTGCCTTCGCCCGAGCCCTAGATCTTGCGGGCCCCGGGCTTACAGGTGGGCCCCGGAGGCTACCTCTGCTGAAGTCAGGAGGACCCCTGAACTCGCCTGCCACGACTTTGAATGTAATCTCAGTGGGGGGTCCTTCCTTGGGGTAGCCACCAGAGTTGGCGTGGTCCCCAGCGGGCAGTCTTGGAGCTCCGTCCTTCCCTACCCCCCAGCCACTCGCCACCTGTGGTTCTACCTTTTCTTGGCTTCCCCGATGTCCTAGGCCTGCCGCTGTCTCACCCCCAACCTGCCAGCCATCCATACAGGTCTCCGGCTCAATATGATGTCCGCCGGGGTCGCCAGCCCAGACCTTCCACCTTGACTCCTTCCTTAATCTGGCCGCTCGTCCCGGCCCTGGCTCTGCTCCTTCCGAAGCGGCCGGTTTCTTCACCGGCTCTTCTGCCTGCAGTGTCGCTGGCTCCTTCACTGGTTCTTCTGTCTGCAGCACAGCCGGTTCCCCCACCGGTTCTTCTGTCTGCAGCGCAGCCGGTTCCTCCACCGGATCTGCTGCTCAGGATGCCACTGGTTCCTTCCCCAGCTCTGCTACCCGCGATGCAGCCAGTTTCCTCACTGGCTCTGCTGCTCCAGATGCCACCGGTTTCTTCACCGGCTCTGCTGCTTGCAATGTCGTCAATTTCCTCCTGGGCTTCACTGCCCCAGACACCGCCGGTTCCTCCTTCAGCTCTACTGCCTGGAACACAGTCAGTTTCTCCTCCAGCTCTGCTGCTCCCGACGACGCCGGTTCCTCCACTGGCTCTTCTGCCTACAATACAGCTGGCTCCCTCACCGGCGCTGCCAACAGCGTTGGAGCCGGTCCCACCGTCAACACTACTGCCGATTGTGTTGCCGGCTGTCTCGGAGCCTGCACTGGCTCCGCCCCTTGCTCTCGCTGCGGCCGAGAGCGGCGGCTGATCTCCTCCACACTGGAGTTCCGTCCCGTGGTCTCTCCTCCTCAACCACCCTGCTGCCTTGGTGGGGCTGCTTTTTGTTTCTTCCGGGAGGTGTCCTCCGCCCCCGCTGCTCTGCCGCAGCCGGATAAACGCCCGGATGATTACCCACGTCGGCGTCCTCGGCGTACACGCGTCCCCTGGCTCTTCCAGCCCTGCAGGAGGTGAGTAGGACTCCTTGCTGCCCCGGGGTTCCTTTGGCATCCCAGCTCCCCTGGGACACAGTGCCAGCTCTGGTTGCTCCAGGACCCCCACCATACTTGGGTGAGTTCCATGTATGATGTGATTCCTAGACTGGCAGGTACCATGTAAAACACAGTCCTGGACTAGCCAGAGCAGGTACCACATGCCCTGTGAAACCCGGGCTTGCAATAGTGGGTGCTGCATGTGGAAAACATCTTGGGCCCTGCACATGGGATCTGTCCAGCAAATTCTGTGTGTGGCGTGTGGATCACCTATGAGGCTCAAAGGCAGCACTGGGGGCCAGATGATGGGGCTCTATGGGCTGGATCTTTAGCACCCCTGCTTTGCTTTATTCCTTGCATACATTATACATGCATGCTGTTCCCCATGTTTCAGTCTCTTTCACTTATATGTAATGTGTAGCTCTTTTACCTCGACAGATAATTTATGTTCTTCTTCTTCAATCCAATCTTATTTTCTGAAACCCCATTTTCTTTTTGGTTGTTTACTAACCCAAAAGTGATGCATATCGATTTGATTAAACCCTCTTGTGAAATTTCTTAGACTGCATGTGTTTTATAGCAGTCACTGTGTGTGCTTACCTTTATGGCTGTACAGTGCTTAGGACACTGCTGCCCTAATCTCGATAGGGGTCTATGGCTGCTCTGCAATACAAATAATGAATTGCTTGCACTTCTAGAATGGAACATAGCTCCATTTGTTTTCCAGTTATATAAATAATGCCCTTTGGAGTGCTGTAAATTGAGGGAGAACTATCCAGTAGACAGAAAAGAATAAGAGTCACAAATTCTGAATTGTTATATCCAGCTTTGTTACTGACCTCTTGTAAGAATTTTATTGTATCACAGCTTCAAGCCACCCCTCTATTAAATGTGTGCAATAATATTTGCATAAGTCACTGGAATGTTGTTAAGCATAATTAATGTGCTGTGAAAAAACTTAGATAAAAGGTGCTATAATGCAAGTGCAAAATTGTTTATTACAGACTCACAGTAGGAAAGCTGGTGTTTTTTAATGCTTTACTGAATTGGATGCAGCAGAATTTTATGTAACCAGTGATAAGCTGCAACTTTACAAACTGATTTTTTCTTAAACTGTTTTTATCATGCAATATATAAATACAAAATTTAAAAATAAAGAAGAGATAGCCTTAGAGAATTATAGAAGTAATCAGGAAGAGATTTAAAGATGAGAAGTCTAACAGTTCTAATTTATAAGTATCAAAAAATCATTAAACCTTTTGCCATTAGCCCACAGCAGTACTTTCTAGTTAGAATTCTATCTAATTTGCTTTCTGATATGATTCAAATGTGTGAATGCACTTCCCTTAAACTCAACGAACTTGTAGATATGTACTTGGCATATAAATGGCCTAGAGGTTCTTCAGGGCCATAATAATAATAATAATGTAAAATATGTACAATAGCCATAATAAAGAACCTGGTACAACTACAATAGAAATATGTATGAGTGACTGAGTGGAAAAGTTGTACAAGAATAAAATATTTGGAAACCTATTTTATTGTTATATTTTGCTCTCATGTTCCTTTCTTTTTTTCTATTCTCCCACCCCATCCCAATCCTCTCCAACTAACAAATATCACATTGATAGATCTGGGGTCTTGAGAGTGCAGCCTGTGGCAACTGGAGGAGGACTCCTTGAGAGAGATGCTCTGGCACCTGGCTAGAGTGTCTCTATGGCTGCCCCAGGGCCCTACTGCCCCAGCACAGTGCCTCAGCATGCTGGGGAAAATAGGAGTGGGGTAAGGCTGTAGCAGTGACTCCAACCCAGGCACTGTCCCAGGTAAGCAGGGACATGGGAGTTGGGGGGACTGGGGGTGTGGGGGAACTGGGGATGTGGAGGGAATGTGGGTTGAGGGACTGTGGTGGTAGGGGGGACTACATGTGGGTGGGGGGGACTGTGTGTGTGGGAGGACTGTGTGAGGGTAGGGGGGACCTCTCAGGAGAGGTGGGTCCCTTGCCTACCCCACACATGGTGTACAGCCTCTTCCTCCTTCCCCCTGTATGCAGCAGCAGCTGTCCAGGCACTCAGGGCCTGTTACTGGCAGAGCCCCCACCATGGCATAGCATGGCCCCAGCCACCTGGGACTCAACACCACCTGTGACATATGGCACGGGCCTGGCCCTGCCCAGCCCAGCCTGGGGGCATGCATATTTGAGAAGGACCAGGCTGCTCTTGCTGTTACCCAGGGCCCCTGGCACTGCATGCAAGAGCTGCACACCCTCAGGCTGGGCTTGGTCCTGCCTCCATGGAGCTGGTCTAGCCTGGAGGCATGCGGGTCACATGGAGGCAGAACCCAGCCAGGCCCAAGGGCATGCATCCCCTATGTGAGATACCAGGACCCCAGGTGACAGCAAGGGTGGCCCCATTTTGTTCAAGGTTGTGTGTGAGTGGGTCGGGCTAGCATGGAGCTATATGGCAGTGATGGTGCCAGTTCCAAGGTGGCCAGGGCTGCACCATACTGCTGGGTGGCTCTGCCATTAGTGGGCTATGAGCTCTGGGATGTCCACTGATGCTACAGGAGGGACTGTGCATCATGTGGGAGAGGGGGGTGGACAGTCTCACCAAACCACCCACAGTCCCCCCCATACAATCCTCCCTACCCTCACAGTCTCCCCACACCCACACAGTTTCCCCACACCCCAGCTACAAACCCCATACCCCGAAACCACCCCCAACCCCCACCACCCTCCTGAACCACTGCACAGGCCCCCTACAAGCCTCATCCCCACAAACCATACACCCATCCCTACACCCACCCACAAACCCCCACAATCCCCCCACAACCCCTCCACACCTTCCCACCCAAACCCCACATACCACACAAAAACTTGTGCCCTGTGTACCTAGACACCAAACAGGTTGGGACAGGAGAGTCTATCCTGAGAGTTACGGAAGGGCCCATCTGTCACCAGGATCCCTCAACTCGAGAGGTATACTGCCTGCCTGGAGCAAAGATTCGGGATGTGACGGAAGTAATCCAGGCCAGGATCAAGACCACCGATTACTACCCCATGGTCCTAGTCCATGTGGGTACTAATGATGCGGCCAGGAGAACCCCCGATCACCTGATGGCGGACTACAGTGCTCTGGGCGGCATGCTGAAGGAGTTTGGTGCACAGGTGGTATTCTCTTCCATCCTACCAGTGAACGGACATGGAAGACGGCATGAGAACTGCATCAGAGAGACCAACTGGTGGCTTCAGCAGTGGTGTCTCGAGGCAGGCTTCGGCTTCCTGGACAACGACCCGCACATTACGACAAGGGACATGCTCAGTTGGGATGGGCTTCACCTGTCCCCCAAAGGTAAGCGTGTGTTTTCTTCTAGGTTTGCGGATCTCCTCTGGCGGGCTTTAAACTAGGCTCATCGGGGGGAGGGGAAAATGAGGGCGGGGGAAGGTGTGGACCACCACA